GTCCAAATCAGTTGCAGCCTCCAGCCACCTTCAATAAACGATACTTAAATTTAGACAAAAACTGTTTCTTTGTTCAAGTTAAAATAAAAAGACGGAAACAGAAAATTGACAAACTTCTATCTGCAAGTTTGTATACTGGTGTGGCGGGGGAAAGTACACGCATACAAATTTCAAGTCAAAATTTCATTAAACTGAATATATTCAGTTTAAGTGGATAGGCTATGCTGCATTATGCAGCATCCGGGCTGGAGGGGTTAATTAACTGATATTAAATATTCCTATCTATGGCACAGGGAGAAGCTCTTACTATTTTACTCACTCGAGATCGGTCATGATGTCCATTTTTTCTGCATGTTTTGCGCTCAGTCGTGATAACGTACAACGTAGAATCATTAACCAATCGTTCCGTGCTATAACAATCCTGTCGGGTTCAAGCTAAGTAGTAAAACCAATAGCTCGAACTGTGCATTTCTTTTCTACAATGTTTCGTGAATGCTAATGATTTCGCACACACGGCGTTTAATTCATCAGATGGTCAATAATTCTGTCGTAACATAGAGGCCTCTAAATGGTTTTCGTGTGTACTTTCATGGATTATGAGTGCGGCTACTAAATGACAGTTGAAATAAGTGCTATCGCTCAAAACGTAATGTTTCAGCCTACTCCGATGCTACAACCTTGTCACATTTCAAAAATCAAGTTTACGGACTCCACCAAGAGATGTCATAGCTGAAATTTCGTGTAATTTACAGGTTAATAGTAGCAATCCGATTAGTACAAGACAAGAAACACTCAGTACTCACTTGACAGCTGGGTCCACAACAAAATACGACCTAAAAAAAACTTTACGTCATCCTTACAATTTGACCGTGTCGTCTACATACAACAGCTCAGGCACATCATGCTTAATAAGAGTGCACTCCCCACGAACTCGTTTCATCATTGTTGGTGTTGTCGTAACCAACTGGCTACACGTAGGGAATTGGTTACGACTATGGGTTTCGCGTTGGTGTGACATACCCCAATGGTTACATTTGACAGACGACTGGTCTGTGTGCATTTCGACTTCCTATTGGTTGAAAGGCAATCTCTTTCAACCAATTAGTTTAGCAGAATTCTGCCAACCACTCGTTGGCAAACACCTTTCATTTAGAATATCACTTTAGGAGGAAACCCGAAACACAA